GTGTGTAAAGCTTTCGTTGCGAAAAGCAGATTGTCGTTGTGAAAAACAGATTGTCGTTGTTGTTTTTCAAAAGGTTGTTGTTTGTTTGAAAATATTCAAACGGCCACGGCCAACGATCAACATTTGCGATCGACTCGAAAGCTCACCTTACTCGGATTAAAGATCGATCCAAGCGATTCAATGATATGACTCTCGAAGGTGATAAATCTCTCATTCTCCGGCGGGTTGACGATGTTATCCTTCATGTTAAAGTAAATTTCTTTCCTGTTTCAGCAACAACAACTGTTTGCCTTTACGTAGAAAACGCGTAGGACTGGTACAGTTTTGTTTTTGTGCTGTGCATGGAAAATAATCTTCTACCTTTTAGTTTTTGATTTTTGATTTCTGAGTTTTATATTGGAGGGGTCACATGAGGCGATCTGGTCTGATCATACCGTGCGCAATTCTCCTGCATGCAGCCCTGTTCCACTTGACTCCTTTCAGAGACAGTCCGCAAGCCCACTTCACCTGAAGGCAGCCTCTCTTCGACTTGAATCGCATGTAATCCCCCAGTAGATCCTTTTGCCTGGGCGCGGCGTCGACGTCTCGCCTCCTCCCGTTGCTTCATCCGCGGTAACCTCAGGAAACGGTCTCTGGCCTTTCGCGACCGCCATTGTTTCTTTTTGGACTTCGCCGCCTGCACAGTCAAAAATTCCTTGCGCCACTGCACAGCATAATGGGTCTTAGCCTCACGGTATTCTTTCCGGTCCTGACGGAGGGCGACCTCCAATTCCGTCGTCGTCTTCGTCCACGCGTCCGGTATCCCAACCTTCTTCATCAATCGGCGGATTTTACGCGAACTCACCCGGCAACCCTTCCTCCCCTTCAAAAGAATCTTCCACAAGGATTGACGGTCCCAAAACTGTTGCATCTTAGGAGACCAGGGCACCGATCCATTAGTGACCCGTCTACATTGTTCCTCCGCCTTTCTCCTTACGACGTACATCTGGTGGTGCAGGCAGTTATAATGACGACCCATTTTTTCTGTCATGGTCCCTTCATTTAGTTGTAGTTGGTGGTGTAGGGACGCCAATTGAGATGAGATGGAGTATTCCTCGTAGCCCTTGTGAACGAGCTGCAGGTAGCGGCGGACTGCTGTAGTATCCAACATAGTAAGTTTGCGGGGTTTGTACGGGGTCTTCTGTGGTTTGTACCCGCCCAAAGATTTCTCCAGGTCGATATCAACCCAAAGACCACGATGGTCGCAGGAGAAAAACTCATTGAAGTTGTAGTAACCTCCTGCCTGTACAGCCACCCCAGAGGTTGTGAAAATGCCGTCAATCGGTTTGCCCCTTTTGTTCCGGTGCTGAATGGCGGCCGTTCAACCAGGGTGTCGTTGGAGGATAGCTTCTTCCATACCAACATCGCGAAGACGTTGGCGAAAGGAAGAGGACTTGGTTGAGCTGATGTCCTCATTGGCGTCGACCCCCAAAATTACTTCACAGCCTTCATCGCGCCATTGGGTAATAGCTCGAAGAAGGTCCACCATAAAGGCCTCCCTTGGTTCACGCTGCCGACCTTGGGAGCGAAAGAAACTCCGGTGTTGTGCCCACACGGTAGACTCGCCAGTCCCCGGAGGGTTAGGTTGGTACGCAGCCACCACAACTAAATCCCTAGAGAACCTACTCCGTGAAGCATCGGAAGCTTCGCGAACTTGATCGTCTGATGTTGGCATTGCAAACTTCTTGCCTTGGATGCGTACATATGCCCACCTGCCCAATTTAGTTGGGTCCCGACCAAAAGATTTTGCACGGTGGGCAACTGAGTTCAAGATAGTTGCCACACATCCACCGTAC